TGTGTTTTAAAATTAGCCTCCCCATTGAAGTCAATGGCGTTTCGGGCGGTTCGCCGGTTCGCGAACATTTGCGGAAGTTCGCGTTCGCCGTTCGCGAACCGAAAATTTCAGGTTCGCGACATCACTACTGCTAATGTTTCTCCTGAACTCATTTGTAAAGCAGCTACATGGTCTTCCTCTAACACTTTCATTAAGAGCTACCAAATTGATGTTAGAGCAGGTATATCTGATCAATTTGCTAAATCAGTTCTGTCTGTATCCGATACCTGATTTCTATTTTTTCACCTGTTGTGTTGTTAATACACTTTGCATTCAAAATTTTTGGAGTCTGTGTCTCTTTCCCTCCCTGGTTTATTGCTTGGGTATTACCCAATGTTGTGCTGCCATGGATATGGCCAGGAAAATGGAAAATTTATTCATACTTACCGTAATTTTCTTTTCCTGGTCATATGCCATGGCAGCACAAGGGTCCCACCTGGGGCTATTGCTGGAAAACATGACTGGGGAAGGAGGGGTAGGAGGTGGTACTTATACGGCTTAATAATTATTCCTGTCCAATGGGGATAGGGAGGAGCTACCCAATGTTGTGCTGCCATGGCATATGACCAGGAAAAGAAAATTACGGTAAGTATGAATAAATTTTCCATTATATATTAATATCAAATTACACGTAGACTGATACTAATTAAATACATATATAATTATTGTTATAAATATATTTATATATAATATAAAAAAATTAAATATGTAAATACGTTAAAAAATAAAATTACAAAAAATAATAAAAAAATATATAGATGTGTGTTATTTCGTTCTAACTGTATTGTGATATTAATATATTTATATTTATATCAAAATACATATAGAACGAAATAACATATATATTTTTACCTTCATATATACATAAATATATACGTATATAAAATTTTATATATACCTATATATAAATAAAAATATTTTAAAAAAATTATATATATACATATATATTCACATATGTACGGGTATATATATATATATATATATATATATATATATATATATATATATACACACACATACACATATATTAATTCTACATATATATTTATGTAATATTTTTACATAGTTAGGTATCTTAATTAATTATAATTAGCGGGACCTGCCTGACAACCCATGCCGAAAGTAAAGGGAATTTAATTTGCTAGCACTATATTTAACCCTATAACTTTCCAAGACACCATAAAACCTGTACATGGGGGGTACTGTTCTACTCGGGAGACTTCGCTGAACACAAATATAGTAAAATGTATTACAACAATGATATCGCCAGTAAAAGTGACTTTTTTTGCATTTTTCACGCACAAACAGCACTTACACGGACGATATTATTGCTGCGATCTTTTTACTGTTTTGAAACACAAATATTTGTGTTCAGCGAAGTCTCCCAAGTACAACAATACCTCTCATGTACAGGTTTTATGGTGTTTTCAAAAGTTACAGCGTCAAATATAAGGCTTTGTTTCATTTTTTTCACATTAAAATTCGCCAGATTGGTTACGCTGCCTTTGAGACCCTATGGTAGCCCAAGAATGAAAATTACCCCTATGATGGCATACCATTTGCAATAGTAGACAACCCAAGGTATTGCCTTTTTTGCATTTTTCACACACAAACAAATACTAACACTAACTTTGGCCAGTGTTTGTGACCAAATGGCTACTAAAAAAGACTGGGCATACCCCATTTACAATACCTTGGGTTGTCTACTATTGCAAATGATATGCCATTATGGGTGTAAATTTCTTTCCTGGGCTACTATAAAGTCCCAAAGGCAACTTAACCAATCTGGCGAATTTCAATTTCAAACGTAACGTGCTATATTTGACCCTGTAACTTCCCAAAACGCCATAAAACCTGTACATAGGGGGTACTGTTTTACACGTGAGACTTTGCTGAATACAAATATGTGTATTTTATTGAAGTAAAAGCAAACAGTATTATGACATTGACCGTTAAAATGTCATGTAGAACTAAACAAAAATTAAAAAAAATCTTATTTTCTCCCATTTTGTTCATATTAAATTATGTTTCATAGCTAAATATTTGATATTAAATGAAAGCCCTGTTTCCCCTGAATAAAATGATATATAATAAGGGTGGGTGCATTTAATATGAAAGAGGTGAATTACAGTTGGACAGACGTAGCGCAAATGCCAGGTTTTGTTTACATTTTGTTTTGTTCACAACGTGTACATTTGGCTCTGTCCTTAAGGGGTTAAATGAGCATTAACATACACTAAGCCAAAAGTTCTGTCACAAAATACACAAACATGTATGAAAATCACAGGAGTAACAAGAGATGAGGTACTTAACTTGTCTGAGGGAGCAGCAAGAAAGAGGAGGAGTCAAGGAGCACCACACCCATATGGATAGTACTGGATGCTGATTGGTGCCACTGTTACCAGGCTGTTGTTATGTTTTTTTCTATGATTCTCTCATTCTTCTTTTTCTTGCTGCTGGGTGTATAATAAAGAAAGAGAACGCATAATAGGAGCCTCCGTGTCTTTAATAAAAGTTGTAGTTTAGTAAATAAAAAGCATGTCTAAAGGGCAAAGGAGAACATTAATTTTAGGGGTGTGAGTGGGGGTGTGGCCAGAGGTGGGGGTTTTCAGTATAACCTGTAAAGAAATCTATTTTACAGACAAAGCTTCCTGTGCTGACTTCCACGCCCCCTCCCGTCATCACAGGTGCCGCAGACATTCCAATCACAGATTTCTCATAGAGAAGCCTGGGATTGGACCAATTCACTGGCTCAAAGCACATACTCCAGATCACCAAGGGGAAGGAGTAGGAGGAGGAAAAAAAGAGGACTTCTCCCAGTTTTAGAGTGCAGGGAGGCAGAAGGGATCTCCGACACGGGGGAGAGTGTGAAGATTTTTATGCTTGTTTCCAACGTGCTGTTGACAGACAGAAAATATGCACAGAATTGACATTAGATAGCCTGAAACAGAGTTATGGGTGCAACTAGCCTCCAGCACAAATAAAAATATCTCAGTATGTGCAGTTTTGCTAGGGATATATACTGGCCATTTTATTGCTCCAAACATAGCGGCTTAGGGGTGTCTTGGTACATCACTACAGTTTAATCAGTTGGAAAAGGGGCCGTTTGCATGGCCATGTTCTGTTATCTGGGATTTATATTGTTATTATTGGTGGATTCATTGCCAGGGGTAATTTATGTATGGGGGGATGTTGGTTTTAAATATATTAATATGTGTTGGCAATGACCCAGCCTCATTATTTGTAGGTGGCATTATAAGATCTTATCCGCATTGCTTCTGTCTTTATTGGTATTGATAATACAACAGGTATTGGCCAAGATCCATTTTTGTGTGTAAACATAGTATATGCATTCTTTGTTCCATTGGGGTCATAAAATGCATCTTTGAATGTGTTGCCAAATATCCTTACACAGGCCCTAGCCTAGGGTAGCAAAAATTTTAATAAATACATCACCTGGCTTAACATAGTGGGACGTATGGTACACGAACAAGCAAAAATATAAATGGGATGTGTAAAGGGGAAGGGATAATTTAACCACATCCAAGACTGACACCCAAAATATTTTTTCACCCTGCTGACCCTGATCCTTGGCTCACCGTGAAAGGAAATTGTTTAAAAACAAAATTAACAAAAGCATAACTGGATAGAAGACATATCAATAATTAGATATTCTAAGTATATCAAAGTCAAAGCTTAAGGTAAAACTCCTTTTTATTCAGTGAAAGTCCACAATGAGATGTGGAGACACTCTGGGGTACGTGTTTCTATTACAGAAACTGTTCATTTGGTTTGACAGAATTCTAAATCCGTTTCCATGACATATAGAATGTTTAGGTCAACTGCCATTATTGCCTGAGAAGCACACATTGTATTTAGTGACAGCTTCAATAGTAAGCATATTTATGTTAAAGAAGCTGAAACAAAAAATCCCTCACATTTATTGACAGTCTGCTTATAATTAATGAACAATAAAAGGAAGAATAGGAAAGGTGAGATCTGGAAGCAAAGACCCACGCCGTATTTCACTAAATGGGAGGAGCGTTGTTTGAGGAAGGCACAACAGAAAGAGGAGAAACCAGAATGGAAGGCCGAGCAGACTAAGCAAAAACTCTGGCCCCACCTAAAGAGGTTAGCCACAGCAGTGGGGAAACTTTATGATCAGGGACTATATAGACAACAAGGGAAGTGTCTGTGGATCCCATTCCAGGATGCTGCTAATTCTCTCTCCAGTCTTTACAAAGAAAGTATGGATGTCCATCAACAATGTTTTGGCTTAGGATCTGAAATAGGACATCAAAGGCTCAATAAAGAACTGTTAGCCTGGGTAAATTAATGTCAACCTACTATTTTGAAAGAAGATTTAATAAGAGTTCTACTTAAAAAAAGTACCATCTCCAAGGAGCTCACATGATCCACCACATATGGCTGATGAATCATCCGTAGCAGCATCTCTCCACAGTTTATTAAATGGCAGAATGGCAAGCATGAGTACTCACTCTACCATCCCAGCATTTAGCAGCAGGTTGCAAAAGCGCACCCTGGCACAGTGCTGCGATCTGTTTACAGATTTACCACCCTGTAAACAAAAGAGACTGATTTGATTACATTTCAACAGTTTTTAGGTAATAATGATTGTTTAATAATATGTATGTATTAATATAAATAAATAATTTTAAAGGATAAATCTTATGTTTTGTTGGGTATTTTGTGAGGTAGTAAATGAGAGTGAATTAATTTTTATTTCAAAGTTTGGTATTTTATAATATGGAAATCACATAAGAAAAAAAATAAACAACCTCTCTTTTGGTCCTCATTCTGTGTAACACAATGTGCATCCTATACAAGGGATAACATTTATTCTTTATTAGTCTATTGTCATTGCAAAGCTAGATTTTTTTTTTAAATTGATTGTAACTCCTATCATTCATGACATATCTGATAATTCCTTAGTTGAACCTTTCGAAATGTGAGGTCCTCGATATCACCACCCTGACAGAAGAATATGATAATCTGAAACCCAAATTCCCATTCCTCTGGTGCACAGAAAAAATGAAGTTTCTAGGTACCTGGGTGACGGCTGACCCAATCGATCTCTACCATGCTAACTTCCTGCCTCTAGTACGCAACACCTTTGAAGACCTCAAGCAGGGGTCATACCCACATATATCCTGGTTCGGACGCATTGCAGTTCTAAAGATGAATGTTCTGCCGCAAACATAAATAAATTATGTATGTATTAATATAAATAAATTATGTTAAAGGACAAATCTTATGTTTTGTTGTGTATTTTGTGAAGTGTATTTAGTCCTCATTCTGTTTGATGCAATGTGCATCCTATATAAGGGATAACATTTATACTTTATTAGTCTATTGTCATTGCAAATCTAGATAATTTTTTTTTATATTGACATTGGATTGTACACTTGACGGATCTCCGGTTTTCCACACTCTATGGAACTGGAAGGCACTTAGAGGCCTGAATCCTATTTCCTTTTTAAATTCACCAACACTGTGTGTTTCACCTATTTCATTAATTTTTGTCCTTAAAGAGATTTTTAAATAGAATTCAATAAACATAAGTTTTTAATTTTTACTCTATTCATAACCTATGAGTTATTTTCACTACTGTGAGGATACCTAGGGGGAGTGTTAGAGGAAAGGCAGGTCTCCCTTCACTCTTTCACCCTCTTAGGCAACCTTTCTCCTGAATCCTATCTCCCCTTAACCGAGTCTCCTGATACCTCTGCAACATAACAAAAACCTGGGGGGGGAGAGGGTTACCTTCCCGTGCCTGGGCCTTCATAGACAGAAACTTGTTCATCTCTATTCGCATGCAACACTTCCTGTCAATCTCACAGGCTAAGGCAGGAAAACCAGAGTAAAGGGTAGTGCAAGCACAGCTAATGCTTTATGGGGGACAGTTCCCTGGCATTCCAGAGTGGAACATCAGGGAATAAAGTCAGGACTGTCGAGCCTAAATCAGGACAATTTGGAGTCATGTAATATTTCCTGAAAACAGAATGACCATCTTCACACACCCTTGCCAAGTTTTGGAGAAAATGCAAGGCTGAATTAATAACTATCCCACTGCAGGTTATTTTTTAATGGCAAATAGACTGATCTTCAATGATGCATTGTGGGGCACTTTAGTAGCTCACACATTTAAATTGCTCCACAAAATATAAAAGCAGCTTTTTACTTGCTTTTTTCCAGTGCCAAGTTCCACTCCCTCAGCGCTGTTCAAGGCCGGACTTAGGGTTGTGCGAGATGGACGACCGAATTTAATAAAGCCCCTCGACAAAGACTACATTCTTATACACACACTATACATGGATTGAGGGCAGTAAGGTCGTCCCTGGCACTGCTCAAGTCCCCACCTTCCATGGCCATTGGGGACATGATGCACATGTGCATCCAAGCTTGCATCCAAGCTTCCCCATAGGAAAGGATTGTATCCAATGCTTTCTATGAGCTTCCATGTCATGTGACTGAGTTTTATGCAGTGGGTGCAGCAGAAGCACCTCTAGTGCCTGTCAGGAGGACAGCCACTAAATATTTATTTAACCCTGCAGTGTAAATATTATAGTTTCTAAAAAAGGTTTAAACTGACAGGACCACTGCACCCTGACAATGTTATTGAGAGCAAATATAGCCCATGGAGCAGCACAGCTTAGTGGAATAGGGCCGTGACAGAGCTAGAAGGCGGGCATTCATAGTTAGTGTGTTTGGATTGGCTAGCAATATTGGATGGGCAGGCAGATACATATAGGGCAGCTATTTTATAATTGTCCCATTCTAATGCTTTCTCACAGCCCTTGTTGTTGCCGACCCTGCCTGATTTTGGTTAGGTTTGGAGTTATCCTCCATCTGGTTACAGCAGCTGGATAGGTAAATTGGGGGGTGGAATGGGTTGTTATTATGGATTGAATTATGTGTCTGGCAATTTAAACAAAAATAAAACAAACAAAAAGAAAAGATAAAACAATACAAAAAGATTGGGGGCTGTTGGTGCAGCCCTACCCCATCTTTTTGTATTGTTTTATCTATTTGTTGAAGGATTTGAGGGGTATCCTTCGTTTGGGTTGCAGCCCATTTACATATTGTCTGTTAATTAGCACTGATTTCCTGTTGTATTTTGTGAAACAAAAAGAAAAGCCTTGCTGTTCTGAGCACTAACTCCTCTAACTGCTTTTGGGCGGCTTACCCGCTTCCAACCATATAAAATACAAATTTTTGCACAGATCATTTTTTTTTTTCCTCCAAATAAATGTTTAATTTCTCCTTCAGAACACAAAGATTCTTGTAGGGAGAAATGCAGTCTTGCACACTGCTTGTCCTTCTCCCTGTGAATCCCTGACAGGGAAATGTTATAGCAGCCCTGTGCTAATCATTGCCAACAGGTGAGCAGCTATCTGGGTGATCCAGAACTCCTGGATTGGATAGCTCAAACATAATGGGGTGAGCGACCATTGTCATAAGGGTATGTTTTCGTGAAAGGCCATCAGTATTTCCTTGTTTAGAGCCAGCCCTGTGCACAATTGAGAAATTATAGGGTTGTAAACTAAGGAATCAGCGAGTAACTCTGCTATTGTTTTCTTTATTTTGACTCATCTAAGTGAGTGGTGCATGATCGGTCACCAACTTAAATTTACATAGAAACATAGAATGTGACGGTAGATAAGAACCAGTCGGTCCGGGGGGCGGGGCCTGACCGCCGAGCGGGAAGGACGTGGGGCACCTCGGCTCCGCTAGGAAACTACCACAATCAGGCAGAAATTCCCTTTTTATGCCTGAGATTGGCGACCAGTGGCCACATGAAGGCGAAGAGGACACAAAAAAAAAAATCACTCACGGTTCCAATATCAGCCCCTGTCCTGCCGGCAGAGCGGACTACTGGGCGGATGGGATTGAGGCCTGCCGTGAGGCTCTGGCGGGAGAAACGACCGATCTCCCGTGCTTGGTCCGGCAGGTCATCTCGTGCGCCTACTGAGGGCCCCGTTCCCCCCCCCCGTGAGCCAGGGGGGTTATCCCGGACCCCACCGGAGAGGCAGTGACCGCTTTCGAGCGGCGAAAGGATTAAAGCAGGACCGCATGGCAAAATCCAAAATGGCCGCCGTGCCCATTACAAACCGGAGAAAAAGCTCCCATCCACCTAAGCAGAAGCTACAACTCCCTGTGATACTGGCAGACCAGGGGGGTCTTACCTGGACTCTCACACTGCTCACACAGAGCGGGCACAGCACGCAGGCTCCCTCATGTACCCAAGGCTGATGCTGGCAAAGCATAAAAGCAAACACACCCATGGCCTGCAAGTACCGAAGCAATCTAACAACCAGCGGGAAACACAAGCAACCTGGAGATGGCAGAGACTCCAGCCGCCCCAGCGCTGCTGCAGAAGTAACCAAGCGACTGCTAACCATGCAGACTGAAAATCCTGCAGAGTACTGTATATATTTCAGTTTTGCATTGACTTTTTAATATCATTTATGCTTGTAATACAGTTGAATGTATCACCGCAGGGAAATCATTTACAACGGTCTATGCCTGAATATATGCATTACCCGGCAAGCTTAGTGACTCGCTGCCCCCTGGTGGTTAATTTAAAAAGTGCGGAGAAATTTACACCTAACGATGTTTAATATAACCTGCAACTTACTAATCGTATGTACATACAATTACTACTTAGATAAGCGTATTTGGCACAGATCTTAAAGTTTTATATACACGTTCCAAGCTTAGACCACACCTGTTATATCTATCTAAACAAAAGCGACTTGGCGATGAACTCCTGGCGTATTTGATACGTTTAATCCATGTTATTAAGCATGCCATTAGTTTAAATGCTGTTACTATCTCGTGTATTAACTCTTAGTTGTTTATCAAACTCGTTCTGTTTTCTTTTTTCTTTGTTTCAACGCACTAAGCACAAAGCCATTTGTCCTCGACTCAATTCTATAAAGTGATGTCTTAGCATGACTTCTACTCCTACCTTTCCCTAAACCACGTTATCAATCGGTGGGCAAAGCGGTGGTTCCATCTAGGTGGCTAGGAAGTATACAATGTAAACCTGTCTGTTTTTCCGTTTAAAAAAAAAAAAAAGTGCAATGTTTCTGATGCCATGTAAACATATGTGAATGCCAATCGATCTGCACCAGCTATTGTGGCAGTGCAAATTGTATGTCTTATCCCTGCATGAACAAAATAAAGAATAAAAAAAAAAAAAAAGAACCAGTCGGCCCATTTAGTCCTGCCCAACAAGTAGTACTTGAGAGTTTCCACAGCCCACTTAATAGCTAGACACTCCTTCTCGACTGTTGAATAATTATTTTCTCTGGGTGGAAGTGTCCTGCTCAGGTACAGAACTGGGTGCTCTTCATCTTGACTTTCCTGTGACAGTACTGCTCCAAGTCCTACATCAGATGCATCTGTTTGTAGGATGAATTCCTTGGAAAAAGTGGGTGTAACCAACACAGGGTGAATGCATATAGCTTCCTTGAGACATTGAAAGGCCTGCTCAGCTTCTGGTGACCATTTCACCATGACAGGGGCTCATTTTGCTTTTGTGAGGTCAGTTAAGGGATTCGCTATGGTAGCAAAATTGGAGATAAATCTCCTGTAATAACCAATAAGACCAAGGAATGTTCTAATCTGTTTCCTAGTCACGGATCGAGGCCAATTTTGTATAACTTCAATTTTCGCAAGTTGTGGTTTGACTAACCCTCTTCCAATCGAATAACCTAAATGCTTGGCCTCCTCTAAGCCAATGGTACACTTACTAGGGTTTGCCATCATGCCAGCATTTCGTATGGAATTAATGACAGCTTGCAGTTTTGGTAAGTGAGACTCCCAATCTTCACTGTGTATAACCACATCATCCAAGTAAGCTGCTACATAAGAGGTATGTGGTTTTCGAATTGTGTCCATCATTCTTTCAAAACGTTGCTGGAGCCCCCTGTAAGCCAAAAAGTAATACTTTATATTGAAAAAGTCCATCTGGAGTAGAGAAGGCAGTTATTTCCTTTGCCCGGGCTGTGAGTGGTACGTGCCAATAACCCTTTGTTAAATCCAGTGTGGTGAGGTGCTTCGTTTTCCCAAGTCTTTCTTCAAGTTCATCAACCCT